AAAAAAAAAGAATTTTCAAAGGTGAAAAAATTAGGAGAGTGGATCAGATTATTAATCAGTGGATTAATTCACCAACAGGGGTCCAGGCCAGGTAGATTACAAGGGCTCTGTGGGTCTGTAATCCCTGGATGAGAAAAATGAGGCAGGAGCTGGGGCAAGATTGTAGGTCTAACTGTGGTCAGCATATAAGCAGAGGCCAGGGCAGGGCAGGAGATTTACTTATATTCTGTGACAACTGGGACAGGTGTCACCTGTGGGGAGCATGAGCTAAAATGGAGGTGGCCAGTGAAGGGAAGGCCCCCAAAGCCCATCCCCAGCCTGCTGACTTGTTCTCACTCCTGGGTCTGTTGTCTGCTACCTTGGCCCCTGCTCTCGGATTCTGCTCCTGCTCTGGGGCCTCTGTACCTGCTTTTACTGTTGCCTGGCACACCCTCCTCTTCCTGGTGTCCCATTCTTCCTCCCAGGCATGGCTAAAGCCCACATCCTCTCTTGCAATCAGCGGGGCCTGATGAGGTAGGAAAAACTCCCCCGCAATGCAGGAAGAATCCAGAAAGGGCCAGCATCTATTTGCTACAGCCTGCTGGGCTTCTGGCAGGGGACACAGCAGCTAGAGKTACAGGAACAAGCCTGTGGGACGGAGCCTCCACCATGGAGCTCCTTTTGTGGGTACTCTTAGTCTCCATGGTTCCTGCTTAGCCTGCTGACCTTCACAACCAGGCCCTGAGGAAGATGTGATTTTTACCTGACCCCACTTGTCTCATCACCTGGAGGCCAGCACCCGGAGACCTTGGGCTGAATTCACAGATGCAGGAGACCAGACTGCAGGACCACCCACCACTGTCTTTCTAATACAGGGACAACTGGGTCTCAAAGGGTCCCCTGCCTCCAGAGAAGAAATGGGCAAAAGAAAAAAAAAAAAAAAACCAAGAAAACCAAAACCCAGGAAGATGGTCATGTGCGCTGAAGCATTGTCCCAGCTCTGGGTGGGCTCCTACAGGGTCACATTCAGGCAACAGTGTTATCAACAGGCAGAAGCACTCTCATGTTTCCTGAGTCCAGAGCTCCCTGCCTGGGGTGCCTCCTCTACACCCACCCTTCACTGTGAGGTCTGGCTTGCTCTACAGGGCAAAATGCCTCCCTGACCTCTGTACGGACCAGGTGCCACCTCCACTACCCATAAGTACAATGGCTTAGTTCTAGGACTGGGTGCTTGCCACCTACTGGCCCCAAAGGACCCTTGTTTTGGCAAGACTGGGCTACTGTGTTCAGTGTTGATGCTCAGTAAACACATGCTGAAAGAAGGAARCAGTCAAAGCCACCCAGGCCGGGGAGTTGGATAGGGCAGGCCAGGCTTAGGAGTAAATGGCCAGTCTGCCACCAGGTAAGAGGACAGAAGTAGGTCCGAGGCCTCTCCCAGACTCACAGCTCCAGCCCCACTAGAGAAACMTTTTAACAATCTAGGAATACCAGGGGCAGTAGCTATCTTGGACTGAACACCAGAATGAACAACAGCCATGGCCCCAAGGAGCTTGAAGCACCAGAAGTAGGGAGACAGCACCACTGCTCACCGCCATCTACCCTGTGCCAGGTGGAATTCTGAGAGCCTTACACATTTGCCCCCATTTGCTGTGACCCTCCTAACTGCTCGGGAGGCCAACAGCATCATCCCACCATATAGAAAGGCAGAGCCCCCGACATGCAGGTGGGGAGGGGTAGCATGGACTCAACTCTGGCCTAACTCCAGACCCTGCCTTCGCATCCAAGAGCAGGCGAGGCGAGCACCCCAGGCAGAATGGAACCCCAGGGCCCACAGAGCTACCACCCTTGTTTAAGGAGATTTCAACTCACCACATGCTCCACAGAGGCTCCTTTCCGAAGAATGATGGCATCTGTGAAGTCTGGCCTCTCTGCAGGGGGAGATGGGGGGAGAATATCAACCAGTCGTGGCCCATGCTGCGGAGGCCCTCTGGTTCCCAGGCCTTACCTAACCTTGCCCCCGATAGCCAGTACACTCTCAGGATACACCCTTGTGCTATCTTCTACAACTCTGACGATGACAGAAAATCAAAAGTCCAGGATTCATGTGTCTGCCACCCCATCAGCCATGATGGCACTTATGAAGATGAGCCACTTGGAGCATCTGGACTGAATGGACAGGAAGTGAGTGGCTGTTGGAGCCTAGGCAGGGAAGCTGTGGCTCTCCCTTCATCCACAAGGTCAGGGTGGAAAAATGCCCAGACGCAGGCCTGTCAATGTGACACAAGGAAGACAACCAAAGCTCCTGATGTGGGGCCTGCCCCTGCAGAGAGAGGTCAGGAGGGCAGGGACTGCTGTGGTCAGTGGGGATCTAGGGCAGGCTCTACGAGAAGCCCCAGCACTCAGCTTTCTCTGCCACACAGGCTCACACAGAGACCTCCACCAGCTGGGATGGAGAGCAGTGGCCTGCTCTGAGAGACAATCTGGGCCAGGGCTGGCACTGGGATCTCAGGGTACCATGTGCAGGGTAGCAGCCCTGTGGGAAGGGTGAGGCTCAGTCATTTCTTAAGCCGAGTCCCACCAGACTCACGTCCTCTCTTCTTGGTATAGATGCAGGTCAGGGCCAAGTACTCCCAAAGCATCTCCAGCAGGTAGTCCAGGTTCAGTTTCATGCCACAGCTACAGGGAAAGGAAGTGGTCTAGTCAGGTAGCGGCCTAGGGGACTCAGAGGCTTCTCACTGGAGAGAATGACCTCTGCTGGCCAGGCACCAAGGCTAGTATGGCCCTACAAGCTCCCATGAGGAAACTAGCCTGTCTCCCTGATGTACTCCTGGCTACCAATGACAATCATGCTCAGAGTTCAGTGTCTCCCTTAAGGCCAGTATGGCTATGCTCTACGAAGAGCCCACAGCCTCTGTGCCTGGCCCAGGCCTGTTGTGAGAGACTAACTGGAACTGGGTTGAGATGGGATGATGGGCAGAGACTGAGAACGCAGAGTTCACATCACCCTGAGAAGAAAGAGTGGCTGCCAAGGACCTGAGCAGCCCACAGGGGCTGAAAGCAGCTAGACCTGTGGGGAACCCTGACTTGACTGAGTGACCTCAAATGCACCCTAACTCTGGGGAACTGTTGTGAGCATGAGCAGGTAAAGGTGTGCTCTGTTCTTGTGCCCTGAGGACAAGCATGTACTTTCATGCCCCGAGGATAAGCATGTCCTTCCGTGGCCTGAGGGACCTGGGATATAGTAAGAGGGGGTTGAGGAGCTGAGATCGCCTTATGGATGGGACATTGCTCTTTGCAGGGGCTGAAATGTCCCAGGAAATGGTCCTTATCCATCATYTGCGGCAGCCACCCCGACTTGGTCCCTAAGCATCTTGCTCCCACGTGCTGGGCTTCACTGTGAAGTTGCAGAACGACAGGTCTGAGCCAGAAAAAAGCAAAGTCAAGTACTTAATCCATCCCAAAGAGGAACCCTGCAAGGCAGCGCTGGGGAGTAAAAAGCTGTTAGCACAGTGCAGCCAGTTTGGGGAGCACCTGGGACCCATCCTGTAGAGAAGGGCAGGAAGCAGGTGGCCAGGGATGGACCTTGCCCACCTGAGAGCTTAGTTCCCTTTTCCCCTTGAGCTGTGGTCAGACATAAGCCATGACTTCCAGAACACAGAGAGGAGGTTGTACCAGGGCTCTGGGGGACACTGGCTCATTAGTAGGCTAAGAAGCCCCTTAGCCATTCAACCTCAATGCTGAAATCCTTGCTTACCCAGAGCCCCCCGGTTACCAAGAACAACCTGTGGCAGTTGAGGCACTTGCATTGTTTCCTGGGCCTCATGAACAGAGAGCTCTCCTCTGGGAGGAGAGGCTGGACTTCATGAGGTCACATGAAGCCAGAGGTGCCTGACTTTTCCTCCAGGCCTGTCAGTTGGGACGGGAACACAGAGCAGAGACAGCAAAGTGTCAGGAGGTCAGCACCTTACCTGATGACTACACTGTTGGGTTTCCGGGCCAGACGGTCCACTTCTTCCATGGAGATCTGGTCAATTTTGTTATACACCTGAGATTGAAAAGGTAGAGATGGGTAGTGGGGAAGAAAAGGAGTAGAGCAGGGCAGGAAAGGATCTCATGTCTACCTGCCTGCAGGTTCATCCTCGCTCACCTGAGCGCCCCCTCTCCCACTGCTGCCTCAAGGATGGGTAAGGGTACAGGGGCTTGGGAGTGGCTAGTCTCCCCCAAAAAAGGAATGGCTGGGCTACAGCCCTGGTTTCAAGTTCTCCATGTCTATAAGAATGAAGCAGCAATTGAGGCAGAGGGCAGGGGAGGAATACGCACAGCCCCAGCCCTCTGCAACTCTCAAGGAGCCTGCCCAGGGCAAGAGCAATGGCGGCCAGGCATCTAGATCATAGGAGCTCAAGAAAGGCAACCAAGGGAAAGGCCACATGGCCTGGGGCCAGGGCACTCCACCCACATGAGCACCCCTGAGCAGTGGTACCACTTACATACAGGCAGGGCATGTACACCCGGTTGCCCACGATCACATCGATGAACTCATCTGGGGAGCAATCTTCTCGGAAAAGCACCTCTGCATTGAAGATCTCTGAGGGACTCAGATTAAGGGCAATTTGTACACCAACAGCCCCTCATGCCCTAAGAGCTCCAAAGGTGTCCAAAGAGCTAAGCAAAAAACATGCTGGCTGGAAGGGGCCTTGGCCATGATCTGCTTGCAGGTTCTACAGACTTTATTTTTTAAATTATTTTTTAGGTGTTCATAGATCTTTCTTTCTTTCTTTCTTTCTTTATTTATATGCGGTGCTGAGAATCTAACCCAGTGCCTCACACATGCTGGGAAAGTGCTCTACCACTGAGCCACAACCCCAGCCCTCTAAAAGATTTTAAAGCTTGAGGAGCCCTCTCATTTTTCACCCCAAACCACAGTATGCAAAAATTTCAATCAATAAGCCATTTAAATCTTTGTGGTCAAGAAGCGGGGAAATGTACTTCTAGAGTCCCCATGGAACTCTAGGTTTCCTTGCAGGAGCATCCTGTGAAAGCTGGGCTGACGCGGTCTGTTCCACATGCACTTTCCCTCTGGGGGGTTTTCTGYCCCTACTTGCACATCTTTGGTGACCAGGGGCTCACAACATTCTTGGTCATCACATCTGACACTATGGGTTCTCCCTCTGCTGAGCTCAACACTGCCCCTGAGGCCCTGACTTGTCTTCAAGGCTTCTGATAACAGGAATGCACATAGCCTCGGATCCTTCCTGAGGCTTCTCCAGGCCAGGAACCCCCAGATGTCCCATGACATCTCATCTTTCTCCCAGATGTCACTGGCCACCAGGGTGTCTAGAACTCAATGAGGAGCCAGGAAGCCTTCCTTTGGTGCTGGGGAAGCCCTGGCAGGCTCATGTAGCCTGGGGGGAGCTTTTCCAGAGGCTGCTCAGATGGCTCAGGAGTTGTTAATGGTGATCTGCTATCCCAGGTGGCCTTGTGTATAGGATGCCCCAATCGCTCTTTGGGAAGGATACTGTACTCATGCAGAATGAGCTGCACAAGCTTCTCCGAACACTGGGTCAACGTGACTGTTGAGTTGAAGGAGATGCCACCACCTTTCTTGGGCTGGAGCAGGAGAGAGGAACAGGGAGAGCTGCTGATGAAGAGGTAATAGCAACGATCTCTTGGCCTCCACCAAGGTTCTGGCAGTCCAGAGTTGTCACTGCCCTGGTCACAAAGAAGCCTACCTTGAAGTAGATGTTGGGCTTGTGCTTGTTGAGGCGGATGCCCACTGACTCCAGCTCCTTCTCCAGCAGACCCCTAGATAGAGCGCTTCATGAGCCCCTCACTGGCTGCCGACGAACAGGCTCTGCAGCCTGCATGTTAGCCAGGAAGTCCCTTGGACCCACATGGAAACCAGCTCCCTCCTTGACCCCAGCAATACAATGCCCCAAAGCTGCAGTGAAACCCTTCTGCCATGGTCAGAGGGGAGGCTGGCTCAGTGTACAGTCACCAAGCATGGGCAAGCAGCATGACCCCCTGGGAAGTAACCAAGGGAGGTGCTGCTTTGGCCCTTAGGACCCCCATGGGTCTGCTGCGGCAGACGTAGGCCGGTGTGCCCTTGGACAAGAGGCTGTGGGGAGAGTCAACACTTCTGCTGCTTGGGTTGGACTTGTGGCAGATTCTGGACAGTGACCAGGACACCTAGACCACTGTGGAAAGAAGCCAGAGCCAGGCCATGCTCCTTATTTCCCAGCCCCAAGATGCCCCTGTGTCATCTAGACACAGCCCGGAGGACAGCACATCCCAGGCTGGGTGCTGCTGGGTTACAGATGAAGTCACTAGTACTCCCATGTGAGAGCCAGGGACCCACAGAGCACCCACCGTGAGCCCAGGAACACAGGGGACCCTCCCTAGACAAGTAAGCCTGCCCCCCTGCCCCACCGCGCAGACCTCTGCACCTCTCCCTTGGTGGCATCCAGCATCATGATGACAACATCAGCCGTACGCGCCACAGCAATCACTTGACGGCCACGACCTTTCCCTGGATGGGTGGAAGGGAGGTGATTACCCACTGGCAAGTGTAGTCACATACGTAGGACCTCCACCCAGCCCATCACATCACAAGCTCCTGTCCTTACAGAGCCACCATGGTCTTTGCCACATGCCACTTTGATTTTCCTGGTGTTCTTCTTCAGTCCATAAGCTGTTTTACTCATGGAAACTTGTTTTAAAGTCACCACCTTAGTGGATTGGCAGGATAATGATGGACCTGTTTTCCCCACCCCTACCTTGTAGCAAGCCCAGGCTAGAAGCTTCGTGAACATTTCTTCACTTAATCCTTAGAACTACGATGTGAATGCCTGCTCATTTTATAGAGGCAATCACTTTGCCTGAGATCACAGAGATAGTATGCAACAGTATTTGAACCTGAGCCTGTCCTTTCTAGAAAACGGATAATATAACCAGAGATCCAGGGTGATCTCCATGACAGTCCGCCAGATTCCAACAATCAGTGTCAGAGCTCCACTGCCTCCCTCCCACCCACCTGTCCCTCCTCACACCTTGTGCTGCGCCTTCAATGATTCCAGGAAGGTCCAGGAGCTGGATGTTGGCACCTTTGTACTAGAGAACAGAAGAGAACAATGTAAGGTAAGGTTGGCTGACTGATGCAAAGGGCCTGCTTGACCCTGARACACCTATGACAGCTCTATACCTCAGGGCTTATGGGAAAAACAGATGCCAACTGTGGCCACCTGTGAGCCTCATTTTCACCTCAGCTTGGTGCAGACCAGAGCCTAGGAGATTAAGAACTGCCTGGGAGGGCTCTTGAGATCTAGTTCCATAAAACTCACAGCTAATGACAACAACCCTTCACAAAGAGACYCCTTCACCTTGGAGACTCAAGGTCAAAGCACTTGTTGCCAAGGCAAGCACCCCACAAGGCTTTGAAGCTTTATAAGAGACAGACGGATGGAGCCAACCAGCAGTTAATGACCAGAACTGAGGCAGTATGGGGAGCAGAGCACTAAAGGGAACCAGGCAGTGCTGCCGTATGCTGGCCGGCCTCACAGAATGAGTCAGGGCAAAGCAGTTCAGCTCTGAGCCTGCCCCCATGCAGGAACGCCAACCTCTTATTTATACACACATGAAAAGTATCTGCAAAAGCGCAAAACAAACACATTCTTTCCCCTCCTGGGGCCCGGCACACCCCACTTACCTCAATGACCCCAGGGATACACGTCAGAGTGGTGAACTCGTAGGATGCAGCTTCACTGGCCGTGGAGGTCATCAGACTCAGGAAGGTGGACTAGGAGAAAAAGATCAATGCACTGAGAAGTCCTGTTCCTGTCTCCTAGGAGAGTCCCCTGGGAGGGAGGCTTGCTGGGTGGGTGTGGGCAGCAGGAAGAGCCTTCCTCGCCCCTGGCTATAGGTTTGGGTAGGTGTTTCAAGAATAACTGCTCAGCGGAGAGACTCTCCTCTGGCCCTGCAATGATGGATTAGGCACCAGGGGCGGGGCCTGTGTTCCTTGGCCTCAGGTCTGAGGTAAAGGTGGGTACCTGATTTCTAAAGGGTCCCCCACATGCGTCAGGAAGCCTTCCTGGCCCCATRGCACTTGTGAATCCAGGATCCAGAGTTTGCTCTTGCCCCAGGAAGGCTGTGAGCAGTCCTACGTATGAAAGATATAATGGTCCTGGGAGCGATCACTGCCAAGACACTGAGCAATGCTACTGGAGGCAACCTTTGGGATAGTGTATAATCCTGTCACCTTTCTGGTAAGAAGCCTGGGCCCTCCCATGATGGGAGAGTCCGTGTTTCTAATAGTGCAGGTGGAATCTGCCATAGGGCCCAGATCCCATACAGCCCTCAGAAAYTACAGAGGTTTTTACCAATTTCTCTCTCTGTCTGATGCACATACCAATTACACAGGCAAGAAAACCAATGTAACAAAACACTGTCCAGCCGGTATACCGCCCCACATGCAACAAGCATTCAAGAAATGGCTGCTGTGGCCCACCTCCCAGAGGAAGGAGCTGGCCCAGAGGAAGGAGCTCCACACACTGTTTACAGTAAACTGACTCAGGAGTCGCGCTGGCACCTGATACAAGCCCTGATCATTGCTCATGTGGCTTGCATTCGAGCAGCATCCTACCGGCCTTGTGTCTACCCTTTCTTTACCTGCCCTTGTCTATCATCTGTATAGCAGCCAATGATTCTGTTAAAAAGTTAGTCAGGGGGCTGGGATTGTGGCTCAGCAGTAGAGCACTTGCCTCGCACATGCAAGGCCCTGGGTTCGATGCTCAGCACCACATAAAAACAATAAATAAATAAAATAAAGTTATTTAAAAAACAAAAAGTTTGTCAGTAGCCAAGTGTGGTGGCACATGTAATCCCAGCTACTTGGGAGGCCAAGGCAGGAGAACTGCAAATTCGAGGCCAGTTTCAGCAACTGAGTAAGGTCCTAAGCAATTTAGCGAGCCCCTGGGGATATTGCTTAGTGGTAAAGCGCCTCTGGGTTCAATTCCCAAAAAATAAAATAAATAAAAAGTTAAGCCAGTACCCTGAATCTGGTTTTTAATACACCATTCTCCAATAAAAGGAACCAGGGCTCTGTGGAGAATTAGCAGATCCTATAGTAGGACAGAGAATATGTAAGGTGAGCCTTGAGCATTCTGAGGTGTTAGTGAGGAAGTGCTGGGAAACACAAGACAGGAATATGTCCAAAAGCCAGGCTCCTGGGGCTGGGCTGTAGCTTAGTGGAAGAGCACTTGTCTAGCGTGGGTGAGGCACTGGGTTCAATCCTCAGCACCACATGAAGAGGAAAAAAAAAAAAAACATGAAGGCAGGCTCAGTGGTAGAGTGCTTGTCTGGCATGTGCATGGCTTGGGGCTCCATCTCCAGTACCCCACACACACACACACACACACACACACACACACACACACACAAAAGCCAAGTGAAATAGCTCCAAAGCTAGAACAATCTGAACAACAAAACAGTAAGGGAAGTATTAGACGGCACAGAAGTAAATACAAGCCCATGTGGATATCAAGATTGAGTAAAACAAATGTCTAGAGAATGAAACTGATGAAATTATGTTATGCATATATTTGCATATWCAAATATGCCATAATGAACCTATTATGTATAATCATAATACACCAATAAAAAAGGTGCTAAAATCAATAAATGGGGCTCTAAGGGTGGAGCTCAGTGGTAGAGCACCTGCTTAGCATGTGTCAGGCTCCAGGTTCCATCCCCAGCAGCAAAACAAATTTAAGAAATAACAAATAAACAGGAGAAAAGAGAGAAATCTCCTATACACAACAATTCCAAAAATGTATGTAACTCTCCCCCCTCCAGAAGGTGAAGTCCTGCCCATTTAAGTGTTACTGTACTTGAAGAGGAAGGAAACAGAGTGATTCTGCAGTGCAGAAATCTGAACACACCATCTGGGCCAGGTGGTCAAAGTCAACATCAACACTGGTCAGTCATGTTGACAGCATGAACCTTTTACACAACATRAAGGAAAACAGCACTTAACCTCTGTGGGCTTCCTCCCTACACCAGAACCCCAGATAAAGGCACAAGAAAAACACCCGACAAACCCCAACTTTTTGCAAAGGTCCAGGTCATCAAGTCAAATAAATCTAAGAAACTGCCTAGAAGAGTCTAGGGAGACATGACAGTTAAATATTATTTGGGGCTAGGTGTGGTAGCACACGCCTGTAATCCCTGAGGCTCAGAAGTCTGAGACAGGAGGACTGCAAGTTCAAAACCAGCCTCAGCAACTTAGCAAGACCTTGCCTCTAAATAAAATATTTTAAAAAGGGGTGGGGGATGTAGCTCAGTGGTTAAGCACCCCTAGGTTCAATCTCCACTATCATTAAAAAAAAAAAAAAAAGTGATGTGGGATCCACACAGAAGGGAAAGGTAAGTAAGAAAATCTGAATAAGGACCTGAATTGAAAATGAACACGTAGACAATGCTTTATGAGTTGTGACAAGTGTGCAATCCTTGTGCAAGATGTTAACAATAGGGAAACTGGGTGTGGAGTACAACGGGAACTCCCTGAACTGTCTTTGCCATTTTTCTGTAAATTCAAGACTATTCTAAAATAAGAAGTTTTAAAAAACTTCTTGGATCATGTTTCTTTTCTGCTTGAAACCATGAAATGACACTTACCTTACCCTCCACATACAATGTAAAACAATATGGATTTTACCACTAAACTGAGCAGCTTTTCAGAAGAAACCTTTCTTAGAAAACTCTGCAGTGATACCCACATCACTCTTCTCTCTAAGCCAAAATCCTTCTGACAGTTCCAAAGCCCCCATTCTCTCTGATTAATCTCCTCTGCTCTCCCTGATGATCATTCAAACTCAGCCACCCTCTCATCCCAGCATACCAAACAAATTTGCTCTCCTCCCTCTGCCTGGAAGGTTCTCACCCAGGGCTCTCCAAGCTCTCTCACTTCCTTCAGGCCTCTGTTTAGATAGCCACTCATCAGAGAAGTCTTCCCACACCCTGACATAACTCAGGACTTTGCTGCCCACTGCAGGTCACCACTTGGTACACCCAATCTGTATTTGCTTTCATCCCATCCTCTGGGAGGAGGGAGTTCTTTCTGTGTGGGCAGGGACAGAATTCGCTTGTTCCCTGACCTGTCTCCAGTACCTGGTACAGTGCCAGCATAAGGTACACACTCAATAAACACCTGCACTGATGGATAAGGGGGGGAGACCAACGACTGCTAAGGAGAGGGACGAGTGCAGGGGGAGGTAGGGTCTTCTCTGGCCCAGGGGCTTACCAGAGAGGCAGTGATGGGGAGGCTTAAATGGTCATCTGTTTGAAGATGGTCTCTTGCCTTCTTCCCTATTATGGTTTAGATCTGGAACATCCCTCAATGGCTTATATATTGAAAGTTTGGTTCCCACTGCAGTAATGATCAGAGGTGGGGCTTTTGGGAAGCAACTGGATCCCACGAGGGCTCTGAACTCATCACTGGATTAATCCATTGAGGGATTCACAGCTGAATGGCCTATTGGGAGAGGTGGGACCTAGTTGGAGAATGGGTTCTTGGGTACTGTGTCCCTGGGGGACTATATCTGGTCCTCAGCCCTCTCTGCTCGTTTTCTCTGCTTCCCAATTACCAGGAAGCAAACAGCTTTTCCCTACCACGCCTTTCTACTATAATGTTTCTGCCTCACCCCAGCCCTAAAAGCAATGGAGTCAGGTGATCATAGACTGAAACCTCTGAAATCAGGAGCCAAAAATCTTTCCTTATAAATAGTTTTTCTCAGGTATTTTGTCACAAAGACAAAAAGCTGACTCCCCAAGGCCCACACTGACCATCACTGACCTTACCCACAGAGGGAAATCCAATCAGTGCCACTCGGGCATCACCTGACTTCATGACATCGAAGCCTTCTCCTTTGGTTGAGGCTGATTTGGATGGTTCCAAGAGCTGGGCTCGATACTTGGCAAGTTTTGCTTTCAGCAGGCCCAGGTGATACTCAGTGGCTAAAAGAGGCAAAGCAAGATAGAAGGTAAGTATTCAGAATCTCCAAACCTGACAGGTCAACTGCAGCCCCACACATGGCCAGGGAATGTCAGAACYAGACAACAATCACCACTAAGGAAATCAGGAAAGAAAAAGCCACCTCTCTGTTTAAAATATCTCTTGGCTTCTCACCTCATTTAGAATGAAATCTAGTCTTCTTGTTGAGTCCACCCCCCATGTCAGTGGTTCTCAATGGAGACAGCACTGCTCCCTGGGGAGCATCCTGGAAATCCTAGAGATATTTTCTGTTCACTCTGATTGACTTGTCATATCCCTAAGACATCCACAAAGGGAAACCTGGGTTAGGATCCCCAGGGCCTAGAACCTAACTCTGCTGCCACATAAAAACAGGACATTTTTCTTTGGCAGTGTTAAYATATATTGGAATTCCCAGAAATTTAACTGTTGTGCACAGTAAGGGAAGGCTGCATCATGTTTTATTTTTGTTCTTGTTTTGACACCGGGCATTGAACCCAGGGGTGCTTAACCACTGAGCCATATCCCCAGCCCTTTTTTATTTTGAGACAGGGTTTCACTAAGTTGCTTAGGGCCTCACTAAATTGYTGAGGCTTGCTTCACACTTGCAATCCCCCTGCATCAGTCTCCTGAGTTGCTGGGATTACAGGCATGTATCCCCATACCTGGCAATCACACTTTATTTGGAAATTTACTATTCTGGGATGTCATGCTATCATGGCAACACCTCTTGTGGGACAATCCACCTGCGATGGTCTGCACTGTGGGTGATTCTACCCAGAGGTGTGTGTGCTTCAGTTATTTCATCATAACTTCCTGGTACCTTAGCAGCACTCCAGCCTTCATATGGCGAAATAACACTTATTTTCATCATAAATTATTTTCCTTTTTTCTCCTCTTTATATTACTATTAGGACATTATATTGATTTTTTTTCAAATTTTGCGAGTATATAACTTATATTATTAATGGGGAACTTTATTTCACATGTCAAAAAATCCAATAGAGGGAACTCTTGTTGAGACTGAGAACCAGGACCCCACGTGACCCAGCTCCTGGCTCCTTCTCCAACTATCTTTTCTCAACAAGCTGACCTCATTCCTGCCGCATGACCTTTGAATACATTGTTCCCTGTACTTCAACCAGATCTTCCCAGAGCTGGCTCCTTTTTACCATTCCAGAGCAATTCAAAGSGCCCTCTCCTGCCTGGCCTCAGTGGGTAATGTCAAATGGTGGTTGAGAGCCTGTGCTTCACAATTCCACCCAGCTATTACTGGCTGTTTTACTTAGGAAAAGTTACTTAATCTTCTTGTACATCAGTCTTTTAACCTGCAAAAACAAGGATGTTAGCAATAACAACCATGCTGGATTTCTGTAAGGCTTAGAGAAAACACTAGAACACCACTTAGCACATAGTGAGTACTCAATAAAAATTGGTCATTATCCACAGTAAACCCCACTCCTCCTCAGGCTTGTCTTGGCCTCATGATCCTGTTTATTGTCTTTACTGCTCTTAGACTACTTGAAACTATCTCATCTCTTACTTCCCTGACTGATATGGCCAGAACTGTGGTAGTTTCACCCCAAGCTTCCTCAGCCTGGAACTCAGGCAGAGTTTAGCAAATGAATGAGTGAACTGATGGCAGTATGAAAGGGTTAAGATATGGATTTAGCAACAGTCAGGTTCGTATAGTCCTTCCTGTCATCCTAAATCACAAAATCCCCAGCACCTCTAAAGAGAAGGAGTAGGTCTCAGTCACCTTTGCATATCCCTGTCTACCACGGCCAGAGCAGCAGCATCTCTAGCCTCCCCTAGGCCTTCCTGATACTTTCTTCAGGCCTTACAGGGTGATACTCCACACAGCAACCAGAGGGAACTTTTAAAACAGAAATCAAACTAGCTTTCCCCTGCTTAACATCYTCTGCCACCTCCCATTACCCAGAGTCTTTTCCACGACCCATGAAGCCCTAAATCATTGGATTCCTCCTTTCCCATCACGGTACTCCAGTCTCAGACCTTTTGAGTTTTGAACATAACAAGTTCATTCCTGCCTTAGGGACTCTAAACTAGTTGTTCCTTTTATCATGAACAGTCTTCCTCCAGATCCTGCATGGCCGGTTCCTTCTTTTCTTTGGGGCCTCAGCTCAAATACCCACTTCATTGTGGTCTTCTCTACCATTCCACCTAAGCAGGCCCAATCCCCAGTCCCCACCATACCCTCACCACTCCACTATATTACCCTGGTTAGTCTTCATATTTACTGTGACTGAAATTATCTTGTTTATTTGATTCCTAGTTTACAGGCTGTTGACAGAAGGGACGGATCTGTGAGGCAGAGATGTGCCTGGTGTGTTCATCACTTTAAAGGCTCAGGAAACAATTTACAGAATGAATGAATCACAGAAGCCCCACAACTCTTCAGACTTCAGACTAAATGGAGCCAAGGGAGGGCAGTCAATGAGACTTGGGTTTCTTGCCTCCTGCTCCTGCAAACCTGAACCTCACAGCACTGGCCCAGGGAATTGCATCTCCAGCATCCTCCTTATCTAGACTGTTCTTGCTGTGCCACCATACACTCCTCAATTCCTATCCCTTTGCCTCAGCAGTGTCCCCTCACCTGTAACACCCTTCCACCTCAAGTCTCACTTGCGCCCAGTGTCACGTTCTTCTACCCTCCCCTCTCCAGATTTCTTGCTTCCTCATGTGGTATCTATGTTGGAAATTTATTTTAAACATTGAGTGCTCACCTTGTGCTCAGTACTTTGTAAATGTTATCCAATTTAACTTAATCTGGGAGCTGAGATGGAGCAGGGGGTTATTACTATCACCATTTGTAAATGGGGACCTTGAGGTTCCAAAGTATGACTTGGAAATGACTTTCCAGGGTGTCAGAGCTAGTAGGCGGTGGAACTGGGGTTCAAACCCAGGTCTTCCAGATTCCAAGTCCTGACTACCTGCAACACCTCACTGGCTCAGGGCTGCAGGGTGAGGCTGCTCTTGGGAGAGGTCTTCCCTTGCACTTCCCAGCACAAGAGGGGAGACGACGAACTCTCCAGGGAGTTCTCCACTCGGCCACCTGGTCGAGCACTGATTAGATCTATTGGGGGACTCTCTAGTCAGGAGCACTGGGACCATGATCCCACATGGCCCTGCCTCGGGCGCGCTGGGCGGCCGCAGTACTTCTCTGAGGCCTCCCCCATTTTACAGACAGAAAAACTGAGGTAGGCAAAAAGGAAGGCCACTCCGGGCCGACCCTCACCCTTGTTCTTCTGCGTCCGAGCAATTTCTTTCTCGATCTCCGAGATCTTCTCCAAGATCCCCATGGTTGCGGCAGAGATGTGCGCACGGACGCCGACAGCCGCAGCACCGGGAATTCCGGTGTGAGCGCGGCGACAGCGTGCGCCCGGAAGCCTACTGCGAACAGGGTCTTCCTGGGCGCCTTGTGCTCCAGGATTAAGAGCCCGGGCAGGCGATGTGAAATGGAGTATACTTTCCGTTCCGCCCGCTTAGTGGGCCCGGCCACCAGACAGCTAGGATGGGCTGGGACAAAGCTAGACGGGGGCGGGGCAAAGAGGGGGCGGGGCAAAGACCGGCAGGAATGGGAAGAGAGAGAGAACTTCCGGTGGTCCCAGCCCTCTTACTGTGGGTGGCAGCTGGTTTGGGGGCTTGTTTGTTTTTGGGTTTGTTTGTTTTGGGGTGTTTTTTGGTGGTGCTGGGGATTGAACCCAGGGCCTTGTGCAAGCGAGGCAAGCACTCTACCAACTGACCCATGTCCCCAGCTCGTCGCAGCTGGTTTTGACAGTGTTTTAAAAGGAAGAGGCGGAGCTGAGAACGTTGATGGCTCGCCTCATTTTGTAAAGAGGTTCCAAACGGGGTCGCGTTTACCACCTTAAATTAACCAGGTTCTCCAACCTAGCACTCTCCTGCTGGGACGCAGTATGGAGCACCTCCTACATGGAATTCTTAGCAAACAAACAAACAAAAAAACTGTACCTGAGCTGCAACATGAGGAAACACCAAACGTGTAAAAAATGAGACATTTTATAAAGCAAGTGGCCTGGGCTCTTCAGGTCCCTTCAGATTGTGGGTGACTGGGGGAGAGGGAGAAAGTAGGGTGTGGGGGGGTTGTTCTAGATACAATATGAAGACCTTGACCCTTGACTGGATCCTGGTTTAAAAAAAAATAAAGCAGCTATGAAAGAATTCTGAAGACAATTTTGGGAAATTTTAAATATGTGTTGGATGTTGAATGTGCTGCTTTTGGGGGGGGGTGTGATTATTTATTCTTAGCAGATGTAGGGCAGTATTTAGAGGTTGTATTAGTCTGCTCTGGCTGCGGTGGAATACCATGGATATGGTGGCTTAAACAACAGAAATTCATTTTCTCGCAGTTCTGGATACTGGAAGTTCAAGATCAGGGTGCCAGCATGCACTGGTCCTGGTAAGGGCTCTCTTCCTGGTTTTCCCTGGATGTGGGTGAGGTGGGTGTGTGAGCTACTTTCTTGTTTCATCCTCACATGGCCTTTTCCTTGGTGCATGCTCTTAGTGCAAGCTCAATAGTGGTATCTTTTCTTATCATTGCACTAATTCCACAATGAATTCATTGAAGTCATTGTGCTCCCCCACTGGGCCCCTTCTCCAATAGGATTCTGTGGAGTAGTCAAGGTTTCAACTTATGGAGGGGCAGTTTAGTACATAATGGGTGAAAAGTTATCACACCTTGAGCATATAGTTCAAGATATGTATATGTTTAGAGAAAGCATGCTAATGTAAATGTGGCAATATGTGAATTGTTGAACCTGGAAGAAGGGTATATGGGTATTTATTGAATTATTCTTTCAACTTTGTGTGTGTGTTACTGGAGATTGAATTCATGGGCACTCTACCTCCCAACAACATCTCCAGCCCTCCCCCCTTTTTCAGTCGTTGATGGTCTTTTTATTCATTTATTTATATGCCATGCTGAGAATAGAACCTGGTGCCTCACACCTGTGAGGCAAGTGCTATACCACTGAGCCACAACCCTAGCCCCATCTCCATCCCTTTTTATTGATTGATTGATTGATTGAGAGAGAGAGAGAGAGAGAGAGAGAATTTTTTTAATATTTTAATTTTTTAGTTTTCGGCAGACACAACATCTTTGTATGTGGTGCTGAGGATCGAACCCGGGCCACACGCATGCCAGGCGAGCGCGCTACCGCTTGAGCCACATCCCTAGTCCCCCCCCCCCTTTTTTTTTATTTTGAGATAGGGTCTTGCTAAGTTGCTGAGTCCAGCCTCAAGTTTGCAATCCTCTAGAGCTGCTGGGAATTCAGGTGTGTGCCACCATGCCTACCCTCTGTAGGTTTTTAATAAAAAGTTGGAGGGGCATCAGGCCTTTGGAAATCATCTGTGTGTTCAAATCTCACATATGTGAGCTTGATTAAATTTCTTAACCTCTCAAAAACTATTTCTATATAACAAAAATGAAATAAGATAATGACTGTAGAGCACTTGGTGTAAAATTTGCTTGCTGATAAGTTCTCCTTGAATGCCAGAGCCAGTGGAAGTCAGTTCTCCTCTGTGGGACTCAGATACCTCCTTAGAGTCAGCCCATATTTATTGAGCACCTGCTGTGTGCCAGGCTTTGGACTAAGGAGGGACTTTGGGGAGCCTTGAGCTTGCCATTCAGTTTGCATTTTACAAGTTGAGGTTGTGAGCCATGGGAAGTTCCTAGCCTGGTGCTCAAGTTGTTGAATGGCAGGACTGAGTTTTATACCCAAAGCTATCAATTTCAAGTCCAGTAACATCCCCACTGCACCAGGTTACATGGTATACCGTAGGCAGAATATATACATATGATTTTTTTTTTCACGGTTTCAAGACATGACAGAGGTGAGAGCATGTAAGGAACTGGGAAGGTCCATGTAAATGTTGAGGCCTGAGGAGCCTGGGCCCAGGGTTGGGTCTCCAAGTCCTCTGTGCTTCCAACTTCTTTGTGATGTGGCTCCTAGGGCCTCCTTTATCTCCAACCCCGAGCCCACAGAGACCCACTTCCAGTTTTACAGTTGGGGAAATGGAAGAGCTTTGGAAAATTACTCACCTTTTAAGATCCCAGCATCTTTCTGCTCTGTCTTCTTCAATGACAATCCATGAAGGCTTCCACTGATAGCCTGGGAATTGGGACTACCTGAAGGGCCCTGGGGAGAATACCGTATATAAGCCTTCTCTAGGCAACCAGCCTTTCCAGGAAGGTTGGGGTTTTCTAAAACCCTAACCTGGGAAGCCAGCTGTGAATCTTGCTCTTTGCGCTGCCCAAGGAATTGTCCTTGAGATTAAATTTAGACATGTCTGTAGATGCTGCTAGTGGGCTATTAAACATTTGTTTTGTGCATTAAAAGACTCTGTCACTGGGCATGGTGGTGCACGCCTATAATCCCAGCAGCTCAGGAAGCTGAGACAGTAGAATCACAAGTTTAAAGTCAGCCTCAGCAATTGAGCGAAGCCCTAAGCAGCTCATCAAGACCCTGTTTCTCAATAAAATATAAAAAAGGGCTAGGGATATGGCTCAGTGGTTGAGCACTCAGGTTTAATCCCCAGTACCAAAAAAAAAAATAAATAAATAAAAAAGGACACTACCAACAAAATGAAAATGCACCCCACAGAGTGGGAGAAAATATTTGCAAATTATATATCTGAAAGGATCAATATTCAGAATATGTAAAGGAGACCTCCAACTCAACAACAAAACTACCCCCATTATCTAAGCCTAAGCCAGGTGCAGTGGTACATGCCTGTAATTGCAGCAGCTTTGGAGTCTTGAGGCAGGAAGATCACAAGTTCCAAGGCAGCCTCAGCAACTTAGTGAGACCCTGTCTAAAAATTTTTAAAAGGGCTGGAGAGGTATAGCTCAGTGGTAAAGCACCACCAAGTTCAATCCCCACTACTGCCAAACTAACCATCAAAAAACCATATCCACCCACACATACACATAGAAAACAGAAAATAAAACAAAAACTGGGCAAAGGATTTAAATAGATATTTTTCCAAAGGAGAAATATAAATGGCCAATAAGTACAAAAAAATATTTCCAACATCACTTATCACTAGAGAAATGCAAATCTGTGCTATAATTAGCTAGCACTTCACCTCACTGAGATGGGTGGTTATTGGAGTGGTTATTATAAAAAGCAAAACAAAGTAGAAAACAACAAATGCTGGTGAGGATGTAGAGAAGTTGGAATCCTTGTGCATGATTGTTGGGAGTATAAAATGGTATAATTGCTGTGGAATTCTTCTATGGTAGTTCCTAAAAAACAAACAAACAAACAAAAAAACCAAACAAACAAACAAAAAACAGCTATAGAATTACCCTATGATCCAGGAATTCCACTTCTGGACGTATACCCAAAAAGCTTGAAAACAGGACCTTGAAAAGAGATTTATATTCCCAGGTTTATAATAGCATTATTCACAATAGCCAAAAGGCAGAAGCAACACAAATGTCTATTTGTGTGTGTGTGTGTGTGTGTGTGTGTGTGTGTGTGTGTGTGGTACTGGGGATTAAACCCAGGGCCTTGTGCATGCAAGGCAAGCACTCAATCGACTGAACTATATCCCCAGCCCCCACAAGTGTCTATTGATGGATGAATGGATAAACAAAATGTGGCATATACATACAATGAAATATTAGTATTAAAATGGAAAGAAATTCTGACTCATGCTACAAAACAGATTAACCTTGAAGACATTATGCTAAGTGAAATAAATAAGCCATTTACAAAAAGACAAATACTGTGATTCCATTTCTGGAAAATTCATATGGGAGGTGTTTGGAACTAGGGGAAACAGAAATGGACATGTATTATAAGCACAGAACTTCTATTTGGGGTGATGAAAAAGTTCTGGAACTATATAGTAGTGATGGTAATAGCATTGTGAATGTACTTAATGCCACTGCACTATATAGACTTAAAAATGGTTAATCAATTTTGTATCTTGTATATTTTACCACAATAAAAAGCCTCATTACAGGGCTGGGTTGTGGCTCAGTGGTAGAGTGCTCGCCTAGCGTGTGCGAGGCCCTGGGTTCGATCCTCAGCACCACATAAAAATAAATAAGTAAAATAAAAATATTGTGTCCAACTACAACTAGAAATAAGTTATTTTGAAAAAGCCTCATTTCATATCATTTGCAGAAAACAACTGCCCTAACTTAAAAAAAAAAAAAAAAAAAAAAAAACCCTAGCAACCTAGCCAACCGTGGTGACACATGCCTGTAATCTCTGAGGCAGGAGGACTACAAGTTCAAAGCCAGCTTCAGCAATTTAGCAAGGCCCTATACAACTCAGAGAGACACTGTCTCTAAATAAAATTTTTATTTTATTTTTTTAAGTATTTATTTTTTAGTTGTAGTTGGACACAATATTTTATTTTTATGTGGTGCTGAGGA